CTGAAGGACACGCAGCATGTCTGACCCACTGTGTCGTGACAGAGACATTTAAAGGGATGTTTTCAATTTGGAGCCTCGGCAGAGAAAAAAAAAAATAGAAATGTCTTGTTCCAAAAGTTGAGCGTAAAAAAAAAAAAAAAATTATCCAACTCTTCTGAAATGATTTCTGTCTCAAAGGACAAACGTCGTTTTTTTTTTTTGCATGTTTTTGCCCGTTAATTACAAATCACAGGCTGACAGTTATTCTCCAGAGCAGAGCAGATGTTTTTAGATTGATTTCTTACCTTCCAGGCACAAACTGGTTTCCATTAATGTCAGTATGTTTTTCGACACTTGAGAAAATTCTTGAGATGTTGTTGCCCTTTTTCTTTTTCTTTTTTTTTCAAAGTCGTGTTATTGAAGTTACAAGAACGGCCCTTTGTGTTGCCTTCAGGTTTCAAGGAGACTCCATCCTTGGAGGGAGAACTGAGGCTCAACTGCTCAAAAGCATTTTATTGACAACACATGGTTCAGGAGAGGAAACAACAAGATGAGTGAGGCTCCGTCCACACGACTACGTTTTCATTTTAGAAATCATCTCTTTTGCTACGTTTTCAGAATAAAACAAAACCCCAGAGCTTTCAAAATAAAACAAAACCCCAGAGCTTTCAAAATAAAACACAACCCCAGAGTTTTCTAAATAAAACAAAACTCCAGTTTTCAAACTAAAACACAACCCCAGAGCTTTCAAAATAAAATACAACCCCAGAGTTTTCTAAATAAAACAAAACACCAGTTTTCAAACTAAAACACAACCCCAGAGTTTTTGAAATAAAAAACACAACTCCAGAGTTTTCAAACTAAAACACAACCCCAGAATTTTCAAAATAAAACACAACCCCAGAGTTTTCAAACTAAAACACAACCCCAGAATTTTCAAAATAAAACACAACCCCAGAGTTTTCAAACTAAAACACAATCCCAGAGTTTTCAAAATAAAAAAACACAACTCCAGAGTTTTCAAAATAAAACACAACCCCAGAGCTTTCAAAATAAAACACAACCCCAGAGTTTTCAGAATAAAACACAACCCCAGAGCTTTCAAAATAAAACACAACCCCAGAGCTTTCAAAATAAAACACAACCCCAGAGTTTTCGAGCCCCAAAAACAACTCTGGAGTTGTGTTTTACTCTGAAAACTCTGGAGTTGTGTTTTATTGTGAAAACTCTGGGATGGACAGAAACAGACCTTTGTAAACGATGAGATCACCCCCACAGCCTCTCCTGATTGGCTCTCCTCAGCCTGGACTACCAGTGGTGAATACAACATGATAATGAAGGACAGTGTCACTGACCTTGTTGTCTTTGCAGCTGTTGTTCACTTACATTCTGTTTTAATGCTACAACTGTCTCTGCTGTTCCTCCTTCAGAGGATTTACTGCAGAGGAGACAATCTACTTCCTGTTTACACTGGCTTGCACATGCTCAGTGTAGGTGATGGTCATGTGATGTGTGTTTTCAGGTGTGTTAGTCTGGACGGAGATTGGTTTAAAATGAAAACGTGTTCGTGTGGACGCAGCCTGAGAAGCACACGTGTATGTGCTGAACAGGGATTGGTTGTTGTACGTCAGCTGACTGTCAATGTGTTTGTAATGATACAACACATAAACAAACAAAAAAATTATTGATCTAAAAACTTAAGTATGTTTTGGAGGATTATTCAGTGATTGATAATTAAAGAGCTACAACCTTCAAAATGAACTTTATAGTTATCAAGGTAATTATCCAACACTGCAGCAGATTTAAGAAAGTAATTATTTAGGTTGTGAAGAGCAGTTGTGTTGGTCTCTTCAGAGGGGGCGGGGCCTGACCGCGACCACACAGATGAAAAGGCAGAGAAAAGCGCGGCGGCGGCTTTGATGAGGTTACAGATCTCCTCTCCCAGGTCGTTAGTGTTCTGAGCTGCAGGAGACGTTTGGTTCAGTGATGTGAGCTTCACTGACTTCACGAGCGTGGGAAAAACAAAATGAACAAAATGAAGGTGGATCTGGTTCGTCTTCTGGGGTCAGAGAAAATGCTCAGTCCTGTTCTGAGCGTTGGTTTGGAGTCAGATCAGATTTAAGACAGAGGAAGAAGAAGTCGTGGTGTTGCTGCTATTAAATGAGGCACAATCAAGCCTTTATTATAACTCAGAAAGAATTAAATTTCCTCCTGACACTCATGATTTAACTGGTTTGAATGAGTCTCAGAGTCGTGATCAGGGTCACGACCAGACGTCTCTTTAATTCCTGGTGTTTAAAATCTGATTTCTAACAAGTATTTTGTGGCTCTGAATCTGTCGGACTGAAAAACAAGTTTGACTGTAACTACGACACGTTTCACACAGGACCAAACTACAAACTGAACTGCCAAGAGACTGTGTACAGAACATGCATGCTTCTCAAACTACGGCTCAGGACCCAGACCGGGCCGTTGGTGACTTTGAGTGGAATAAGATGAAGCTGGTCGTGCGGCTCCAGCTGGTGAAGACACACAGCTGTAAGTCACGGAGCGGGCGCGCTGTGTCATAAAGAGGGAAGAAGTCTTTATGACACAGCTGGAGCTTCGGCCGGCGTCACGTGGATCTGAGCGACTTCAGCAGCTTTTGTAAAACAGTACATTGTGATTAAAGCAGTAAATTGTTGTTAATGTTAAAATGTTTAAAACAACACAACGTGTTCCACCTCTATTTAACTTCCTGCTTGGTCGTATTTATTTGTTCAATCTGGAGTGAAAATGTTTCTCTGGGACGTTGTGAGGTCAGATCTTTGGGAAACGCTTCATCAGGTCACGAACCAGACACTTATTTAACATGTACATGTGTTTGTTCCATGTCTGTGTGTGCATGTACTGTATGTTTGTAAGTCTGCACACGTCTCCAGAGGATCTTCCTCTTCCTCTTCCTCATCCTCATCCTCATCCTCATCCTCTTCCTCTTCCTCTTCCTCTTCCTCATCCTCTTCCTCATCCTCATCCTCATCCTCATCCTCTTCCTCTTCCTCTTCCTCATCCTACAGGTTCAGGAACAAACTGAGTGTGTGTCAGGAACTAGGAGTGTTTTTAAAATCTGATGTTTGTTTTTCTGTTTCTCTGAGAGTTCTTCCTGTTTCTAAGAACAATGAAACAAACCAGTGAGAGTGAAGCTGATGATGATGATGATGATGATGATGATGATGATGATGATGATGATGATGGGATGAAAATATTATTACAGTGATGAGAAGGAGACGAACAGACAAACTAACTAAATTAAAACTTAAACTTTGTTTTATATGTTTTACTGGAAGAAGATTCATTTACATCTCTGGTTAAAGATTTAATCTCATCCCACAACGAAGATGCTGAGTAAATATATCCCATGGTGTGTGTGTGTGTGTGTGTGTGTGTGTGTGTGTGTGTGTGTGTGTGTGTGTGTGTGTGTGTGTGTGTGTGTGTGTAGGGTTCTGAGGTCAGTAAATCTGAATTCAGCGATGGATCAGAGTCACTTTTGATGCCATAAGAAAAGTAAAGCAGAGAAGCTGCAGAACATTAACATGGGCACGGCTTCTTGGCTTCTTGGCTCTGACCACATCAAAGACCGAACCAGCGCTGAGCTACTTCTGAATGTGAGTGTTTGAGTGAAGAGAAAGTTTATGAGGGAGTATGTGACTGAATGTTGAAAGTCTGAGAAATTAAAGGGTGTGTGTGTGTGTGTGTGTGTGAAACTGGCAGTAAAAACCCAAATGAAATCAATCAAGATTTGGCGAGTTCTCCTGCTCCTGCTACATTTAAGGCAAATACAAGTAAACATCAGACAACAGGTGTGTTTCAGATCAAACCTGTGAGTCACTGTTTGAGCATGAAGATTTAAAACTGAAGCTTGTTCCTGTGTTCATGTTCAAAGTGAAATCCTCCGGCTGCTTAAGTCTGAACATCTCGTCATTTCAACCGAAGGAAAACGTCTTTAAATCTCCTGGGGCCGCTGAATGTTAACAACACAATCAATCTTGTTCATTAAAATGTTGAGAGCCGCTATAAAGAGTCAAAGTCGAGCCCAGCGGTTCCCGACCTTCTCCAGCTCATGACCCACCTGAAAATCTCTGACATGTTGGCGACCCACGTCCGACCCCGTAACAACACAGAGGCCAGATAACACATTCTCTGAGCGCTTTTAGTTTTAATAAGAAGCCAACATCACGGCTTTACTACAAGAAGAAAAAACAAAGCAAGGAGTTTTTCAACAATAGTAATGTTTTTAAAGATAGTTTCATTTTAAAATATTATTCATATTTTTCTGTATTTTTTAATAATTGCATCTTTTCACCAAAACTGTAGCGCCTCCTCTTTTAGCTTCACACACAGCGTCCTGTCCGACAGACTGAAACTGAGGAGTTCTGTCCATATGTTCAGATGAATTATTAAAGTGTCAATAGAAATCTAACTTAAAGGAATGTTTCAGCATTTTGAGAAATACATTTATTCTTTTTATTTTTCTAGATCAGTAAGTTGATACCACTCTCAGATAGCTACATGAAACGTCTGGCCCAACATCTGTCTGGGCCCCCCGGCCTGAGTCTGGCCCATGTACGTCCACACCTGGGCTGATTCCAGCTGTTATCGTCCAGTGCTGCCGAACAGTCAGGAAGATTTTCTATGGGCCGGACTCGGGCCGAGGAACCAGCCGAACACTGAGCCAGAGGAATTTTGATATGTAGCCAGTTAGCTTAGCCTAGTATGAAGATATGAAATAGGGACAATGCAGCTGTTGAACTATTCCTTTAAAATGGGCACAGATAAAGAAAACTTCATAACATTACAGATGCTAGCGGTAGCGGCTAGCTAGGAGCGGTGGTGCAACTTTGGCTTTCTAAGTTTGTCCTAAACCCAGTGGTGTGATGTTGTTCAGGAGCTTTCAGGCGACACTGTGTTGGTAAATATAAAATGTGTAAATGTATAAAATCTCAGGAAAACAAGACGCCAGCGTTGATTTCATTTGGAGNCAA